CCTCTTTTCTCTTTCTTTCTCTTTCCTTCTGTTTCTTTCCCTCTTCTATTTTCTTTCTCTCTCCAATTTTCTCTCTTTCTCCCTCCTCTTTTCTCTTTCTTTCTCTTTCCTTCTGTTTCTTTCCCTCTTCTATTTTCTTTCTCTCTCCAATTTTCTCTTTCTCCCTCCTCTTTTCTCTTTCTTTCTCTTTCCTTCTGTTTCTTTCTCTCTATTTTCTTTTTCTCTCATTTTCTTTCTCTCTCTTATTTTCTCTTTCTCTCTCCTATTTTCTCTTTCTCCCTCTTTTCTTTCTTTCTCCTTCTATTGCTCTCTCTCTTCTTCTCTTTTTTATTTCTCCCTCCTCTCATCGCTTTCTTTCTCTTTCCTTCTGTTTCTTTCTCTCTATTTTCTTTTTCTCTCATTTTCTTTCTCTCTCTTATTTTCTCTTTCTCTCTCCTATTTTCTCTTTCTCCCTCTTTTCTTTCTTTCTCCTTCTATTGCTCTCTCTCTTCTTCTCTTTTTTATTTCTCCCTCCTCTCATCGCTTTCTTTCTCTTTCCTTCTGTTTCTTTCTATTTTCTTTCTCATTTTCTTTCTCTCTCCTATTTTCTCTTTCTCCCTCCTCTTTTCTTTCTCTCTTTCTTTCTCTTTCCTTCTGTTCCTCTTCCTCTCTTCCTCTATTTTTCTCTCTCATTTTCTTTCTCCCTCCTTTTTTCTTTCTTTCTCGTTCCTTCTGTTTCTTTCTCTCTTCTATTTTCTTTTTCTCTCATTTTCTTTCTCTCTCTCATTTTCTCTTTCTTTCTTACTCTTTCCTTCTGTTTCTCTCTCTCTCTTCTTCTATTTCTCTCTCTCATTTTTTTCTCTCTTTCTCCCTCCTCTTTTCTCGTCCCCGGGGTCACGCGATTTCCCTTCGATGACCATCTGACAAGCAAAGTCAATGGGGAAGGCAGAAGCCAGTCGTAAAATGGTGCAAAAGTCGCTTAACAACTGTCTGGCTTTGCAAACTGAAGTTTTGGGCTCCATGGAGGTCATAAATTGAGGACTTCCTGTATGATAGGAACACCCTGTCTGCTTCTAAAAACAATGCTTATTTCTCCCCATGCTGGATATACCTCCAAAACGTCTGAAAAAGATTCAGTTTCTGTTCTGTTCTTTCCCTCTATTTTCTTTCTCTTCCTTTCTGTTTCTCTTTCTCCTATTTTCTTTCTATTCTTTTCTTTCTCATTTTCTCTCTCTCTCCTTTCTCTTTCTCCTTTTCTCTCTTTCTCTTTTTTCTCTTTCTTTCCCATTCTCTCTTTCCTTTTGTTTCTCTTTCTCTCTCCTCTTTTCTCTTTCTCTCCTCTTTTCTCTCTCTCTTTCCCTCCTTTTCTCTCTTTCCCCTTCTCTCTTTCCTTCTGTTTCTCTTTCTCTTCCTTTCTGTTTCTCTTTCTCTCTCCTTCTATTTTCTTTCTATTCTTTTCTTTGTCATTTTTCTCTCTCTACTCTTTTCTCTTCTCTCTCCTTTTCTCTCTTTCTTTCCTTTTCTCTCTTTCTCCTTTTCTCTCTTTCTCTCCTTTTCTCTTTCTTTCTGTTTCTTTTTCTCTCTCCTCTTTTCTCTTTCTCTCTCCTCTTTTCTCTCTCTCTCCCTCTTCTCCTTCTTTCCCCTTCTCTCTTTCCTTCTGTTTCTCTTTCTCTCTATTTTCTTTCTATTCTTTTCTTTCTTTCTCATTTTCTCTCCCTCTCTCCCTCCTTTTCTCTTTCTTTCCCCTTCTCTCTTTATTTATTTATTTTATTTATTTATTAATAAAATTTATACACCGCCCAATCCCGAAGGACTCCGGGCGGCTTACAAAAAGAAGAGGAAGAAAGAAATTATAAAAAAAGACAGATTTAAAAGCACAACACATGCATTCGTTCTAATCGGGGCTGG